GCACACATTGCTCTTCTATTCTTATACCTACTCTTTTACCTTATTGAACTATACCACATCTAAAAGCTCAAGCTATTAAAGAATAAAATGTTCATCTACATTTTGTCTGCAACGACTTTAGCTTTGTGTTTTGTCCAAACTGTAGCTGATCAAAAAACATCTCGTGATATTAAAGATGGAGGGATACTATAGATGGCTGCAAATCCGTTCTTTCACTGGAGAAGCTTGTTGCGGAAGTGACGAGTAAAATATTTGAAAGGTTTCTTATTAATAGAGTTGGATGGAAGACATCCTCACTCATTATTAGCAGTTGGCAGAAACTCTTTTAATTTGATACAGCAAATGGCATCAAAAACCGAAGAAGAGATTTCTTTAGATGATCTGTTTGACCTCACCATGAAAAAGAAGTGGAACAAAGTTGAGACGGCTTACAAGCAATATCCCTCCACTTGCAGAGCCAAGCTCACGAAATCAGAAGAGACGGCTTTACATCTAGCCATCTCTAGTTACCACTCTAAATTACAGAAATCTGATTTTGAAAAACAGATTGAGGAAATGATCAAATCCATACCTGAAAAAGACGCATTCGAGATATTATCAATGAAGAATGATCAAGGAGACACTCCTCTCCATCTCGCAGCAGCAGTTGGATGGCTAAGTATCTGCGAGTGCATAGCTTTAAGGGATCGTGAACTCATTAGCACTCGCAATTTAAAGGAGGAGACCCAATTGTTTGTAGCGGCTTATCATGGAAAGTTGGATTGTTTTCTTACCCTTCATCATCTCTACAGCAAAAAGTCATTTCAAGAAACAGATCAGCAAAAGCAAGGACAAGAAACACATGAAACACTTTGTAGAAGGGAAGATGGTAATACAATTTTACACACTGCTATTTCCGGAGAACATTTCAGTAAGAATTATTCTTTACAACTTTCTTCAGATTCAAACATTCATAGGCAGGTTTGATTCACTGGATTATACAGAAGTGAATAAGACTTGGGAAGATACACGTGCATCAAAGCTTGTAGAAGCTGTGTCCAATACAGTATATCAAACATGCCTCGTGTATTTATCTATATGAGAAAGGGGCAAAATTACATATACTTTTTTCTTGCAACAGGATTGGCTTACCAGATAATCAGCCACTACCCAAAGCTGATCAACTCTGTTAATGTGGAGGGTGAATCTCCTCTCCATGTTCTTGCCAGAAAGCCTAATGTGTTCAGAAGCATCACTCATTTTCGATTCCCTGACTCTATTATCTACCGCTGTGAGAAATCTTCTAACCAACACAATATCATATAGTTGCAATAAGATTCTCATGATTATGACTAGCTTATCATTTAGAGTTATTTGCATATTTATGCACTGTAGTAAATGATTAATTTGCTCACATCAGCCTAATTA